GTGCAAGTTGTACAATAGGACCGAGAAAACTGTTTTCAATCCTACTGGACAACCCAAGTCCTAGTATTGCACGGACAGTATCAAACAATTTCATGTTGACATGTTGCTGCGCCGTTTTATTATCGTCAGGTTCAAAACCAGGTTTATAAACCTGTTCTGGCATGTTTATGCCGTCAAATATTTCATCATCTGCCTGATTCATCTGAAAAATGGTTGAAAACACATGTCAATTATCAATTTATAAACTGTTAAAAACCTTTATAAAATCTGTAAATTGTCTGAATTTTATCCGTAATCACTTCAAGAACAAAACTTTACCTAGTTTTACAGATTTAAACCATCAATTTCTATATCATATATTATCTTCTTAAAAACTGTTTAAAACCCATAAATTTTCCCAGATTCACGTCAATAAGGAAAAACTACCGAGATTGACATATTCAAACCAAGTACGACGACGAGTTTGAAACTCATATCGACAATATCGGATAGTCGCGAATCGAAAAACCATTGACAAAATCAAATAAACTAGTAAAATCTGTTACACAAATCGACGTAATTGCAAAATTGCGAAATCGCGAATCAAAAACTAGATCTAGATCTAGATTGAGAAATCGAGAAATAGAGATGAAAATTACCTCTAATAAGCTTCGATTTCCTCTCGAATGACCTCTAAAAAGCTTCGATTTCCTCTCCAATTACGTCTAAAAAGCTTCGATTTCTTTTCTAAAGAAATGAAAAGTGCCGATGGCGATTAAGTTTTGGGAATGATAATATTGAGAGCGTTCTTTGTTTCAGGGGTAAATTTGTCCTTCTCGGATAAAATCGTGGCATTTTTGTAAAGGACCCAGCGCGTGTGGCAGTTTTGCAAACTGTTGGCCCATTTGTGATATTTTTGTGATTCTCCCCATAAAATTAAAGTTTAATAAAAAAAAAAATAATAAGGGCGGGACAAAATGAGCGATGAAAGTATGAAACGCATGTGGACCCAATGAGGTGTGGTTTATTACAGGTGTCTGGGATTCTATACCCTACATGCCACATGTTATACTAGCCTTATGTTATACCAAATTTTTTTTTTTCTAAAGGGTGATATATCCAAAAAAAAAAATTTATATAATATTCTAACTAAAAACCCTAACTTAGTGATTAGAATTTGGCAATATAGGTGCATTTTGTTAGATTATTAAATATAGTTTTTTTATATAATCATCCATACTAATTTCCTTTTTCTAAACTGCATCAAATTTGATTAATTAAAATCAATCACCCAAATTTAAATTTGAGTACGTACATTGCTATCTTTAAAGAATTGAATTATGTTTTTACATCGGTGATGAATAGTAGGTAGCTTTTTCACGTATCTTGCTTTTAAAACGTGATTCGCAATTTTTTGCATTGAATGTAAAATTTGAAAAAGCAATTTTCTAACGTTTATTTTGACAAATAAATCCATACTGATATTTGGTAGG